ACAGACAAGCAAGACTCTAGAGTTTCTACAGAGGCATGCTTGGGAGGTTAGGAATCTGTCTCATTACTCAGAAGTCAAATCAATTTCTCTTTTAAAAGATGCTTTCTTTCAATTTCAGATACTACTTCAAAGTTCAAGCCAAAAACCCTCATGGTTATGGGCCTGTCAGCCCTTCCGTCTCCTTTGTTACAGAATCAGGTATGGGTACATTCTTCTTTGTTTTGATTTTGAAAAGTGAAATAAATGATGAGAGTGATGGCTATTGGTATAGTGAAAATTAAGACAAGAAAATATCTTATCTGCTGGGTGAGATCAGGTTTCTCTTAATAAAACAAGTATCCCATCTCCCATCTCCCACCCCCACCTTTCACCCCCACCCCGACTTCTCACCCTGCCCCCACCTCTTCTAGGTTAGAAAAGAACTGAGGTCAAGTTCTAATGAGAGGAAAAACCAATTTAGTTTTCAGTCTAAAGATAGATTTGACTCATTGGCATAAAATAGATTCAGAGCTTTCTTTGTTGCTGGATTTTTATTATTTGGTTGGTTTTGGTTTTATTGCAACAAAGTAGCCAAGGCTGACCTGGAACTGACTATCTAGTCCAGGCTGGTCTCAGGCTACTGAGTCCCGACATTATAGGCAGGAGTCTCCATCTGGTAACATTCACCTTAGATGACATGGGAGACAGCTGTCTCTCCAGGTGTCCACGTCTCCATCTAGGATCTCCTTTACGAAGGGACAGAGATGCCTGTGACACACAGAGTTGAACTTCTATTCTCTCTTAATACACTATCCCATATGTCCTTGCATTTGGAGTGCTGGAGGGCAAAGCTCTCAGGTTCCTGCACGGGTCCCAGGGACATGAGGCAGAGTGCTGGCCCAGTGCACCAGAAGGCATGGGTTTGAGCCCAACACCACCTAAAATGATTCTTTCTGAAGCAAAATTTCTTTAAAAGCAAGTTTCATACTCTTGGAAGTGATTTTTGAAGCTAAAGCACAGATAGTTTCAAAATAATAAATATCGTAGATTTTGAGTTATATTTAGTCCCAGTCACTGTTCAGACAGGAAGCATGTCTGTCACCACCAGGTGCTTCCTCCTGCTGTCCTGCACCCTCTGCTCTCTCTACTGAGTTCACAGCATCTAGTATTTGACATAAGTGCCCTAGAGTGGAGACCCATGTGCAGGGTTCCGTCAGAATCATCCATGTACCGTGTGTATTACTAGAGTGGAGAACCCTGTGCCTGGGTTCTGTCAGAATCATCCACGCACTGTGTATGTTACTAGAGTGTAGATCCCTGTGCCCAGATTCTGTCAGAATCATCCATGTACCGTGTGTGTTACTAGAGTGTAGAGCCCTATGTCCGGGTTCTGTGAGAATCATCCACGCACTGTGTGTGTTACTTCTTCGTTTCCCTTTCATCACTGGTCTGTATTTCTTTGTGCAGCAGCACCACAAAATGTCCATTCAGCCCATTCTGCTGCAATTGAAGCTATTTCTATTGTGTGTTAATTACAAAAATGCTATAAGTGTCTATATACAAATGCTTGGGTTTGTATTTTACCTTCTCTTGGGTAAACACTGAAGAATGGAATTGCGTGTAATATTATAGTATACAGAACCTTCTGAGAAATCACCAGACCTCCCTAAATATGAAGCTTAAAAACAAGAGAATTGATCATGAAGTTTTTACATGATTCATTTCTCTAGTTTTGAATGTACATTTGTGTGTTTGTGTGAGTGAGAGAAAGAGAGAATGTGTGTGTGCATACCATGGTGTGCATGTGAGAGAGATGGATTTGCACGCCAGAGTGTGCATATGAGAGCATGTGTGTACACACCAGTGTGCGTATGAGAACATGCATGTGCACATCACAGTGTGAACACCACAGTGTGGATGTAAGAGCATGTATATGCAGGCCACAGTGGAGGTCAGAGGGCAGCTTTCAAGGGCTGGTTCTCTTCTTCTACCAGGCAGGTCCTGGGGTGAAAGCCAGGTTGTCAGGTTCGGCTTATTTACTGAACCATCCTACCAGTCTGAAGCACTGATTGCTTTTATATCACACAATTTCAAAACGTTGTCTCTCCCAGAAACTCACAGCTTCATTGTCAAAAACAAGGCAGATGACCGAGAGTATTTCTCAAGAGAAAATGCTTACAGAATGAAACCTATGGGAAACTTTGGTATCTGATAAAACATTACTTTCTCTCTATTCCAATTTGGTTAGCTCTTTTAATTATAGTCAGCGTTTCAGCATATTTACAACTGTAATGTACATTACAAAACCAATTATTTCTTTTTCATCCACAGACAATCCTCTGCTTGTTGTGAGGCCACCAGGTGAGTTTCTCATCTTGAGGATTCTGATGTTTGGGTTGATGTGGGTGTAAGCTGTGCAGTCACCATGATGACCCACAGGTTGATGTGAATGTGAGATGTGCAGTCACTATGACGACCCACAGGTTGATGTGACTGTAAAATGTGCAGTCACTATGGCGACCCACAGGCTGATGTGAATGTGAGATGTGCAGTCACTATGATGGCCCACAGGCTGATGCGACTGTAAGATGTTCAGTCACTATAACAACCCACAGGTTGATGTGACTGTAAGATGTGCAGTCACTATGACGACCCACAGACTGATGTGAATGTGAGATGTACAGTCACTGTAACGGCCCTCAGGGAGAGACAGTGGCACATATCTACATCTGTGTGAATTTTTTTCTGACAACTTTGATTCATCCACCCTCTATTCTCTTTGTGGAAGAAAATGACTTGGAAATGCTTTAGTAGGACTATAGCTCTTGGCATCTATGAAAAGCTGTGATGGAAAGGCCAACACCTATAAAATAGGCGCTTGGTTTATGTGGTTTAATGGGATGAAAATGTCACAAAATGCAAGTGTGCAAGTGTATCATGCCCCTCTCCAACCAAACAACTGAGTAAGTCTTGTGTTTCTAGTTCAACAGGAACAAAGAATCACCGAAAGAGCAGGACTCTAGGTGTAGGGACTTGGAGTCCTGTGGCCTGTCCTAAGGGTCAAATAAGCCAATATAGCTGCTTCTCCTTGAGGCTTACATCTGTCATTAGCAATGAGAACCCTTTGTTAAAATAACAAGATCTTAAACACTCTAGGGTTTTTAAAATGTGATACTTAGCTTTTTGTTGCCATGAAAAAACCCCAAGAAAACCAAAGGAGAAGGATTTAGTCTTGGTTTATGGTTTTGGAGATTCCAGAGCACAGACACCTGGCTCCCTCGGTCCTAGGCCTAAGGTGAGGTATAACCTTGTTGCAGAAGGTATACCAGCAAAGCTGTTCTTCACATCAGGCAGGCAGGTGGGAGGGAGAAGGGGATCCCTTCACAGCCATGCTCTGGTTACCTGAATCCTTCCCCAGGCCTCTCTTCACTCAGGTTTGAGTCTATCAGTGAATGGGTTAACCCACAATGACCTTAGAACCCGCTTGACCCAATAATCTCTTCATAGCCCATGAGAAGCCGACCAAGCCTCTAACATGTGAGCCTTAGGGAGATATTTTTAGAACTAACCCATAACACCCCAGTTGTACTCTAGTATTGAATAAGAAAGGGGAAATAAATAATGCATGCACATTTGCTCAGAGAAGCCCCAAGAGGAAGGTAGGCACAGTGGAAATGCCCAGTTTTCTGATAGTTTGTGTCTGATAACCCCCAGAACCCACCGTACCTTAGAGCATGTGTTTTGTGTTGTCAAGGTGGTGAGCCCATCTGGATCCCATTTGCTTTCAAGCATGACCCCAGCAACACTGACTGCCATGGTCGGCAGTATGTGAAGCGGACGTGGTACAAAAAGTTTGTGGGAGTTGTTCTTTGTAACTCACTAAGGTATAAGATCTACCTCAGCGACAACCTGAAAGGTAGGTCTGACACGTGGGTGGCTGTGCTAAACTTCTGCTGGGCACTGACTCGGAAAGCAGATGCCTTAGGGTATGTCTGAGGTTTGGGACTGTGAGGACTGTGGTGCAAACCAGTTTTGTAGACTCCGCTTTGGGATGGCTAGCTTTATACATAGGTGCCCACTGCATTTGGTGGATTAAATACAAAACCAACTGGCCTTATCAGTTTTTAATTTGTTTATTTTTCTTGCTAGAAAGGGTAGGTTTGTCAAAATCAAAGTCTTCCCTCCCATCCCCATCTCTGGAGATTTATCTGCTTCATCTCATCCTCTCTCTCTCTCTCTCTCTCTCTCTCTCTCTCTCTCTCTTTCTCTCTCTCTCGTTCTCTATCTCTATCTCTATATCTTTGTCTCTATCTTTGTGTGTCTCCATTCATCTCTTCCACCCATTTTCTCTCCCTTCAAAATCTCTGGGAGAGATTGTGCAATCATCTTCGGGATCCCAGTGTGGGAAACAGCGTTGTCCAACCCAGAGTTGTGCTTCAGCACCATGGACAGTACCTCGTGCCTGCAGCTGTGTGGGAAGTTTCTTCTAATTATACAGACAGGACTGGCTTCTAACCTCTACCGTGTCTTTCTTCCTTTCCTCTTGAAAGCTGAGGATTAAAAGGTCCATTGTTTGCAGGGTGGAGCTGCCTATATTGTTCATATACAAGCATACGTTAAGTGTTTAGTATACAAGATCTTGGGGGCTTCTCACAACACTTAATGGCATTTGTGCCATTACAAACATTTTTCAGATGTGGAAACTATGGGACACATGATTTAAATAATTCAAACAGTCTCCAGTGCTTGTTCTAAGTTGTAAGCCAGCTATGACACTCTCCAGTAGTCACTGACCTGTGATATACCCTCACGCAGACACATTCTACAGCATTGGAGACAGCTGGGGGAGAGGTGAAGACCATTGTCAGTTTGTGGATTCACATCTGGATGGAAGAACAGGGCCTCAGTCTTATGTGGAAGCCCTCCCCACTATTCAAGGTAAGAAGGGCAAAGCTGCTGTCTTATTCTGTGGGTGGGTGGGAGAGGAAAATTGTTATGATGAGAAAATACACGGGAGCTCTGCCTTTGATCTACGATTTAGAGATTAATGTTGTAAGCACTTTGGATCATAAAAGGGTAAAAATAAGGAATTGAGGAATTAAAGTATTGCCACCATATGTGGCCTTGAGAAACTGGGAATACAGAGGAATATTATATAAGACTCCAGCCCTCTTCTCAGAAACAAGCTCTGTCTCCAGGAAGAGCAAGCAACTGTGTGAACAACGGTGGCCAATACGATGTGTAAATGACAACAGATTATGCCACCTGGCTGTCCTCTTCTCAAGGGATTATGTTCTTTGTGAGCATATGAATTTAGGTTGTTAGGAGAGCAGTATGAGTGGAATCTTACAACACAGATGAACATGAACAGTGAACAGCGGAGTTCAACTTGAGTGAAGAGTAAGGATGAAACTCACCACAAGAGGCTTCAGGATCAGGGCACCAGCTCTCTGACGATGCATTGTGAGGTAGGAACATGAAAGCTAGCCACTGTAGTATGTCACAGATGAGCCCGGCCTTCCATGCAAACCAACAGCAGCTGGAAGGGGTCCAGCATCTTTCCATCGTACACTCAACTCTTGGTGATGTGGTACATTCAGGATATGATGTGCTGATCTATCAAGTTCTTCATTGTGGAAAAATATGTGGACTTTACACGAGCATCCCGGTTTAGTTTCCATTGCTGTGATAAAATACCATGACCAAAAGGCAATGTGGAAATGAAAGGGTTTATTTGGCTCACACATCCTGGTCATAGACTATCATCGAAGAAAGTCAAGGCAGGAACTCAAGCAGGGCAGGAACCTGGAGGCAGTGGTCATGGAAGAGTGTTGCTTATTGGCTTGCTTGGTTTGCTGACGGTCTGATGGAAAGATCTTCTCAGTTGAAGTTCCTTCCTCTCTGATGACCCTGGCTTGTGTCAAGTTGACAAAAATATCAACACAATGAGCTACCCATTTTCTAATAATTAAAATACACAGGCAGCAAAATAAGCATATTTAGAATCTTTCATCTAGAATAAAGAACCAATGTTATTTATTCACTTCTTAGATTTATTATAGAGAAATGCTTCAGGTGACTGTAGATGCGGGGGTGGGGAAGGGTGGCATTTCCAACCTGCAGTAGATGGAACAAAAACTAAGATGTGGGAAGATTTCACGCTATTCTGCAAGTCTGACAGAGGCTGTGTAGTGGCACAGTTCCTCCACTTCCTCTCTAGTCTTTCTATTAGGACTTAATCATCATTTTGGTTAAGATTTTTACCTGGTTAGGTGGGGCCAACTGGAAAATAAGACTAGATAATCTTCTTAGTCTGCTGATTTAAATTGTAATCTCATCTAACAATGCTTCAGTGGGAATGTCTAGAGTACTGTTAGGTCATGTAAGCCAGCTCAGTTCATCTCAATATATACCCCATATCTTTTCAGCTTTTGCAATGGCCTTGCTTCTGATTCAGTCCTGTGTTATCATGTTCCTCTGTGACTAAGTGCTAAGGTCGTGGTACTAACCATGGCTGGTTAACATGCTCACAGGTACAGTGGAAGCTAGCCTTTATTTGACAAGAATAAAGTAAATAATGGTCTGTGACGGTCATTCCACACCACTGGGTCCTGCATCACCACCCACCCGGTATGGACCACGATTTCATACCTTTCACGAGCTCTATAGTGTCCTAGGGGTTGAACACAAGACGCATATGACACAGACAGAGAGTTCGAGTCATTCTCAGGGAGAATGTCCAATTTTATTCAACTTAATCCAGGGTTAAATACTTTTGCCCCAGAAGTAGAGAGCCCCCTCCCATCCAGGAGTGAGATCAAGGTGTTGAGCCGCTGGTGCCAAGTGACAGGAGCTTTCAGCAGGGGGTACCGAGCTGGGAACTCTGACAGACAGATAGAAGGAAATTCAGGGTGCCTGTGAGAACCCTCCTTAGCAGGTGAAATTATCATAGCAAAGACAGAAACAAGGTTCTGAACTAATCCCCTCTGGCTGGCAGAGCAGGGGAAGCTAAGCTGGTTAGTGTAAACATTTCTTGCATCCTGTGCTTTGGCCTCGAGGAACAGGGAAGACAGGGCATTACAATGGTCAATGTGAGAGCCATCAAGCCCCCCAAAACATCTTGAGGCTACTGGAACATCCTTCTACATCAAGGAGTCAGCAATGCTCAGATGTTTTTTTTCTGGATAGTTCTAGAAGTCTGTAGCAAGGCAGGCCGGCTTGTTGGGGTATCTGTCCCGTCCGATACCCTATAGCCGGCATATCCCAAAGAAAATCCTGCACAGGACTCCATAAGATTTTAAACTGATTGGCCCATTAAGTCAGGCTTCTTATTAGTCCTTGTAACTTATATTAATCCATTATCATTATCTATGTTAGCCACAGGGCTCAGTACCTTTCTCAGTGTGACAGCTTACATGTTGCCTCTTTGGTGGTCTGCGTAGGAGTGGAGAGGGAGCTTCCTGCTTCCCAGAATACTCCCAGTCTCTTTGCTCCACCTCTACTTCCTGTCTGGCTTTCCTGCCTATGCTGCCTGCCTGGCCAATCAGCGTTTTATTAAAATATGATTGACAGAATACAGACAATTCTCCCACATCAGAAGTCTACTCTAGGTTCTGGGACTAAAATCTTGAGCTGAGCAACTCTGGGAAGCTGGAAGCTCTGACCTCAGAGAACAGGATGGGAATGAGTGCTATTCAGAGTACACTGCTCAGTGAGTGCTCACTAGTGATTGGCTAAAATCACATTCTTTTGTGGTGAGTGAGAGAAGATCTGAATTATCCCCCGTGAAACATGCTTGGGGTAGACCTATTATTATGACGACACATAGCACAGTGTACTCACAACTAACACCCAGACTGCAGGATGAGATGTTTCCCGTCAGCTACTTTGACCATCTTCCTTCTCTTTCTTTCCCACTGCCTTTCCAGGCTACTACCGCCAGTACCGCCAGGAGCCTGTCAGCTTTGGCAACATTGGTTTTGGAACCCCCTATTACTATGTGGGCTGGTACGAGTGTGGAGTCTCCATCCCAGGAAAGTGGTAACGACAGGATCAGCTCTCTGCAAGTTCACCCTTCCGGCCTGCTTGACTTACTTGCACTAGGGACTATGGGCAAGAGAAAGACAGTGTTCCAAGCCCAATGCCCCAGGGTATCAGGAGGCCACAGGGTGGACACAGGGCATCTGGTCCTTTTCGGCCAGAATTTGGCCACATTTCTTGGTCTGGACTATAAATAGAATTCGGTTTTGCTGAAACTTCTTCTTCACGCCTTATCTGTAATCACACATTCCAGAGACATCAACCTAACAGCAGATCCAGTGTGACTTCCAGACTCTTCCGGCACAAAATTTGGACACTCCAGAATCTCCAGGGAACGGCACCGGTGTGCTGTGTTTGCTTTACAGAATGCTTTCTGCTTTTCTCGTCTTTGAAGCAGCTGAGTTTAAGCTTCACACCTGTCTGTATGAAGTAGAATTGAATTACTGAAATTACCAAAGAAACACACTCCCTTTGAGATTTACACTAAAGACTTATCCACCACTGGGCTAGGTGCTTCAAATCCTATTTGTAAATTCTCAATTTTGATATATATATGTGTATGTATATATGCATATGCATATCTACACTCATCAAGAATATTGATTAAACTTGCTAAGTTTCTATTTGTTCTTTAGATGAATGTGTGACGACTATGCGGACAAAAGTTCTGTCTGTTAATATCTTTCTGAGGTGTCCAGGGGATAGATTTTCTGCGGAATATAGATTCTGTGCAAAGGTATGCATGCTTCTATAGTTGCTGCTGGACTTGGGCCATGATGGAGGCATTGATGAACAACAGTGTTACCAGCAACCCATGCCTTCCTCCAGTCATTTAATATCATGGAGCAAATGACTTTATTACCTTTGGTGAAGTCCGCACGTGCGTGTCTGTGTGTGTGTGTGTGTTCATGTCTGTGTGTGTGTATGCATGTCTCTCCCTCCCTCTCTCTCTCTCTCTCTCTCTCTCTCTCTCTCTCTCTGTGTGTGTGTGTGTGTGTGTGTGTGTGTGTGTAGGCTTGTGTGCATATTTGCATGCAGGCATGTGGATGTGTGCGAAGGGGCCAGGGATCAACTCAGACATCACCCTCCGGGAGCTGTCCCCCTTGTTTGTTGAGACGAAGTTTCTCCCCAAGATCTGGGGTTTATAGATTATTCTGGGATGGTTGGCCAGTGAGCCCTAGGGATCTGCTTGTCTCTGACCTCCCCGCTGCCCAGTGCTAGGAATACAAGGATGTGACACCATACATACCCAGTTTTTTGTGTGGGTCCTGGATATTGAACTTGGGTTCTCATGTGCTTTCCTGACTGAGTTCTCCCCCACCCCTTTATCTAATGTATTTCCAGACTAATGAATACTTTAGGTTTAACGTGATTTTAAAGTCATATCTTTAAAAACTCAATTTTTGTTTCTGTCTCTCTGTCTATTCCTGAAGTAGAAGCATCCTCCTCCCTGGACTCTGGCATAGAGGTTCATTTAGATCCCTTGTTTCCACTGTTGTAAATGTGTTTGTCCTTCCTATGTGTCTCAGCTAGCCCTGTGTATGAAGGGCTTGTCTTCTTGCACTGAAATGTCAGCATCAGAGGAGTCAAGAGGAACATGAGCTGGGAGAAAGGGCTGCTGGGTCTGAGGGCCACTCCTGACATAAACCACAGGCAGAATGCAGTGCAGGAGTAGGGGGCTAGTGGTTTTCAGACCCCTCACTGTGCTGAGGTAAAATCGCATGTATCTGGCTTTTTGCAACTTTGAGACCAGCCTGTGACATTCCACCACGACCATTACACAGTGGCAACAACAAAGAAAATAGCCCAAGAAAAAGCTAGAACTTCTCAAAACAGCCTGCAGCTCCTAGGAGGCATGTTGCCACGGAGCTATGACAGGGGTCTAGCCCCACCTCAGCCCCAAAATTGTGCGTTTAGATAAAACATTGTGAAAGTTTTTGTATTTTCTGTAGGTCTGGTGAACAGGTCTCAAGCATGAACTCTGTGGATGACAAAGTCACCCTGCAGTGTCACAAGGTCATGTAGACCTGCTTCAGAGAGACACCTGTATGCTTATCCAAATTCAGTTTGCAAACTACGTAGGGATCTTTAAGTAGTTCTGGGAGGCTCTCACACATAATAGAGATTGTTAATGAAGATGCCTTAGTTTCTAAACTAGCCAGCATCCAAATACCTTTCATGGTGCCAGATTGATGGTAACCCAAAAAACATTTTCAGTAAATATATAATCTGCAGTGCTCTCCCCACAGAGGCTGCGATCTGGCTGCTTTCTCCACTCTCAGGAGAAGACTAGTGACTTGGGAACAAGAGACTGAAACACTAGAAGCAATTCAGGAGTGATCTCCAGGGTGATCTAACCAATCAGACAGACAGACAGACAAAGGGCTGGAGAGATGGCTCAGCAGTTACGAGCACTTGCTCCTCTTGCAGAGGTTGGAAGTTTGGTTTCCAGCACCCACATTCCATTTGGTGGCTCATGATCTCCTATAACTCTAGATTTGGGGGATCTGGTACCGTCTCCTGGCCTCCATGGGGACAAGCACACTCATGGACCTATACACACAAAGACACCATATGTAAGTATTTTTAAAAGAAAGATAGGCTTGAATTAGAATCATGTGCCTGTAACCCCAGCACTGGGGCCAACCAGCCTAACCTGAACCAATAAGCTTTCTCTTAAGGAAGAAATCACACACACACAAATGTTCACACTCACACAAGCAAGAATGCCACACATGAACAGCACACACACACACACACACACACACACACACACACATGAATGGCTCCTGAGGAACAAGAGCCAGGGTTTACCTCTGGCCTCCATACATGTACACACACTTATGCACACACTTGCACACATATTAGCATGCACACACATACACTAGCATATATTGCTTCATATATTTGTGTTCTTTTGTCTGAAAATAAGTTTATTTTCTGACCACCATCTCCCCTTGCTGAGTTATGTGTTTTGTGAGTGAGCCCGGGGTTCCCAGTCTTCTGACTTGGAACGCTCTTTGCTCGTATTGTGATCTTGAGAACTATTATGCCCTTTAGACAGCTTCATGCTCAGTTAACATACCTGTTTACTTAAGACATAATTTGCAGCATTTTTCAAATGAGTGTTGATTTAGTTTTTCCCTTTTGACCTACTCAGGCCACATATCTGGGTTAGTTGGTGGTAGGGCAGGGAATTGGAGAGTGTGAGGAGAAAGGTATTAGGGTGGGTCAGTCTCTCTCGGCATGGAAAATAGCTCTGAGTCATTATGAGTGACTGCAGAACAATTCCTCTGGAAGAGTCAGGCGCTGACCCGAAACTTCTCTTCTTCTCATTTTCTTATTACTGTAATTTTTACTTTATGTGAATGGGTGTTTTGCTTGAATATAGGTCCGTGTCTTTGGGGATCACTGGATCCCCTGGAACTGGAGTTACAGACAGTTACAAGCTGCCATGTGGGTGTTCGGACTCAAACTTGAGTCCTCTGCAAGAGCAACCGGTATGCTTAACCAATGAGCATCTCTCCAGATCCCAGACCTATAACTTTTTACATAGTGCCTTCCACCATCTCCTTAAGGCATAACTGTTCCCGAGTGGTGGTGCATGCCTTTAACCCAACCACTTGGGAGGCAGAGGCAGGTGGATCTCCAAGTTGAAGGCCAGCCTGATCTACAGAGCTAGTTCCTGGACAGCCAGGGCTACACAGAGAAACCCTATCTCATGCTGCCGGGGGTGGGGTGGGGGGGATAACTATTTTTCAGAAGACTGGGTTCAATTCCCAGCACCCACATCTGTGAGCTCATGACTGCCTGTAACTCCAGTTCTAGAGGCTCTGACCCCCTCTTCTGGCTTCTGCAGGCACTGCACATCTTTGGTGCACATAAACTCACACAGGCATACAGTCATACCCATAAATAAATTAAAAGTATCCTTTTTTTGGTAAGGTATCACACTTGGATGATTTACTCTTTAAAATAACTTAAAGTATCTTTGCAAACATTCCACTTGGATTCTGGATCATGCCCCAGTCTCAAATTAGGCTGAGCTCAGGGCTGCTGTAGGAAAACAGAGCTCAGTGTTAAAGTGGGTAAGTAAATGATTCATGTAAGAACAGTCTCAAGACAGAAGATGCCTCGTAACATGCTGTTAGACCTCTTGGAACTGTTCTGAGTCTATTTCTTAGGTAACTCCTATTCTTGTTCTGTGTATGTATGCTCAATTTTCTCCTGGAGACCAGTTTCCACTGAGTGCTTATGACTCGAGTGACCACTGTTTTCATTTACCCTGAGTCACACTGTGCCCTCCCTTGATTTCATGTCTGCCAGACCTTGGGAAACTCAGCTCTTCTTAGCTGCCTACCCAGGTCTGTCAGGTCCAGACTCAGATGTAGAATGAGGCTCTGAATGGGCATGCTGATTCAGTCAGTGGCTCCGACGTAAGGAATGCCTATGTAAGGAATGCCACTTGGTATAAACTAGCAGGTGCAGCCTGACCAGAGAACAGACAGATGACAGTGCCTCTCTACAATGGACAATCAGGTGGATGAAAGGGAAATAAAGTGAGTTTGCCTTATTAGGACAGTGCTCATTGTAAAACTTTGCTTTGAGACTTTCTGGATTCTCTAAAAGGGTTCAGTATTTCTACTTCATGAAGGACCTTGAGAAGGAAGTTTGAGGAACATTCTCTAATTCATAATGAAACGACAGGGGAGCTTCACTCCATTGCACTTGTGTTTCCAAGAAGTTCTGCCTTTCTCTGCATCTGAGATGCTCCCAAGACAATGTCTCCTGACAGTGAAGTGACAATCAACACAGTCTTTCTACAATATTTTATTAGGCAAACAAATAGGATAGGATAGGTAGGGAAGAGTGGAATGAATAAAATGGAATAGAATGAAATGGAATAGAATAGAATAGAATAGAATAGAATAGAATAGAATAGAATAGAATAGAATAGAAT